ACATATTTTCTCCCATCAGATGCGTTTTCGATGTACATACTTGAAAAAGAGCATTTGTTGTTACACACGAACAAACCGGTGGATTTCTGGAAATTAAAGTTGGAGGCACATTATGCAACAAAGAAATAACGAAATCCGTGCCAGTTCACTTAACTGTCTCCCGACCATGCGCAGATTTTGTTGTAATCTTGGAAGAACAAGGTCCATCTTGGGCAAAAATTTCAACCACTGGCAATGAAAATAATTTGCGCAGTTGTCAGGAAAAAATAACTTTCACATAATAGCAAGCTTCCAATTAGAAGCAAAATACAAAACGAACTCGAAGAAACTTATCACTTAACGAAGTACCTTTGTAGTTGGCACACTTTGTCCCGAAAGATATTTTGCAACACATTACCAACTGTAACGTGGTTTTTCAAAACTATAAAACAAAATTACTCTCTCTTGATTGTCTTGCATGTCTTGTATGTCGCGACTTTGAACAGAATTTAATTCAAATATGACGTCACAATTTAGATAATTACGAGCGCAAAGGGAAATTCAAATTAAATCGTGAGATTGTCAGTCACTGAGATAATGAGCGTTTACTTGTAGACAAAAAGGGTTACTTAGGCTTCGTCTTTTTAAACTACGAAAAGGTCAGAGTGTATAGCCGGAGAGTCGAGTCACTTCTCTTTTCTTTACGTCATTAAAAAATGTTTCCTTGTGTGTGTGTGTGTGGGTGTGTGTGGCGGGGAAAGATTCCCCTGTATAAGATAAAACACGAAAACTGAGGAAGTCATAAATATCATGAAAGAAACCAAGCTCGTTAAGGATTACGCTTCTGTAAAGAAGAGTTGGCTAGGAAGGCAATACCGAAATGCGGCGCACGCAAAGTTCAGTACAGCGGACAAGTACTATAAAGATATGCGCGCCAGGAGGTAACATGGCGGACGAGCTGAAGATTTCGATACAATTTAGGTAAGGTTCTGCTCCAGGTTTTCTCCCAGCCTTACAACCGCAGATCGTTTTGATGAGAACATAAACTTTGACTAAAATTTTCTCTTCTTTAAAAGTGGCGGCGCTGAGTTACTGTTCAATAGAGTAAAGGAACATGACGTGGTCTTACAGAAGGATGGAAAGCCATGTGAGTGTTAGATTATCGTTATTTATTTCTGTTAAGAGCTTATTTTCCGAAGAATTTAGCGGTTCACTTAAGCCTTTCCGCTAAAAGCCTTAATCGGCATACAGATGTTAATAAAATTACTTAATATGAAAATGCTTTGTTGCAAGTCTCTCATCAATCAAAAAGTACGTACCCTCTTTTTTTGGTCTTTTTTTTCAACAGGGAATATTAAAAGATTACTGGCATGGATCAAAGACAACTTGCTTAAGGAAAGACCAGAACTGTTCGTTCAAGGAGAATCAGTGTATGAGTCACTGTCTATTGTTAATGAAATATTGCATGTAAAATGCCTTCCTGGATTAATCTAGCTAGATTAACAAGTTATTAATAATTATTTTATTACTCCTTCACTGCTTAATGGGATCAACATCAGACAATTAAAGTATTTTTGTTGCATTATGGTTATCTCAAGTTGAATAAAAGGATGACAGCTGTAGTGGTTGGTACTCACAGACAGCCTCAGAAGTCATTTGAGTGATATTTTGAATAAAAGTAGACTAATGAAATACTCAGAAATTGTTGTGTTTTTTTTCTTAATTTTCAGACGGCCTGGTATACTAGTACTGATAAATGAGGCAGACTGGGAATTAATGGTAGGGACATGGATAGATTTTCTACAAAAACAGCACAAAATATGTCATTCTTTGGTCTCCTTGATAACTGATGCTCTTTGCTTTCTGTTAATTGGAGAATTTTCCTTAAGCCTGTAGATTTTGAGGTTTAAGAGCCAATTGAGATGAGCATAAAGTAAGATAAATGAACTTTTTCTGATTAAATAAATCAGAGTTGGTTTCAACAGAAAAATTTTCCTTCCTAAACTCATTACATTCCCTGTGATATCTGTTCATTATTTTTTTTTACTGAAAATCAAGAAAATTTTCTTTACTCTTTATCTTGGTTTTTAGTGAGTTTTTCTTTATCAAGAGTACACATGAACATGGCAGACATACATTAAAGCACAGGGTTTTACATTAATAACCCATTCATGCTTTCTTCAAATTATATAAACTAATTTCAATGTTGAAAATTTCCTCTGCTCTGCATCATCCAGTTTCTGCTCAAACATGCAGAGCAATAATTGCTTAGGTGTCAAGCACTTATTCCTTTTAACTGCAATGCATTCCTCTCCTTTGATTACTTCACAGGGTGAACTGGACTATGAGTTGCAAGAAAATGATAACATTGTTTTTATTTCTACTCTCCATGGTGGATAAGACTGCATGACTTTATAGAACATTTTAATGGACTAAGGATCAGATAGATGTTGACATTGGCTTGTATTCCATGGGCTCATGATCAAGGTTGAAGCAAGAGGAACATGAAGGTCTTAAAAAATCCTTAGAATTTGGAAAGTTTCAATCAAGATGGGAAGATCATCCTGCAATAATCTGAGTTTCATGGAAGTGGCAACCAGTTGCAGAGGTCCAAATCTACTTTATAAGAACAATGGAAATATATGTGCGAGACACTGTGTAAAGACAACAATAACATTTGTGAAATTAGCCTGTATGTTTACCTAAAAAGGAACACTAATCAAGACATATTTGGGTGTACCCAAGGGCTTTCAATGATAAAATAGACATAGTTTTATGATGATTTTCACACTCAATTTAGACATTAGATATGCAAATTATAAGCAAAAGCATTTGAAAAGTGTGTGAAAATGTTGTCCCCTTCACACAATATTGCACACACTTTTCTACTAATTCTTGAAGCCTCTCTGAAGAAAATGTACTCTGATGCATGCACTTTAGAGCCTCAATGGTGATTTTTGACTGAACATGGACAAACCATGATTTCACTCCTATCATGGAGTGCTAAGTAGCAATACCAGAGGTCACACTGGCAAAAATTGAAGATGTGGTTACTAAGATATTCTTGTACAAAGGTTTCCTCAATGATCATACATTTAGAGGTAAAGAATATTGTCAGCCAGGAGACACTAATCTAACCATGATGTTTAAATGATTTCATTCTGCAAAGGTTCAAAGTCTATTCATAAATACCCTGTTCAGTGAATAATAATCATGATAACTACATATTCAGAGATAAAATCATGAATACAAATGAGTGGCAGACCAGTAGCCTTACCTGAATCTCTTACTATAGTGAATTTATCATGAGCCAATCAATTCAGGTAAACATGATTACTAAGCATTGGTCTATGTGATGGATTGAAGGTAGATAATTGCCCTGGATGAAAAACTTCCATCCCAAGATTCTCTCTTCAATCCACCAGAAGGTTCTGTCTCCAGGGAGGAAAAAAGTTTTCTCTCTCATCGTGTGTTGGTGAGTAAAGGCCACTTTTGCTCTGGAGGAGACATCCCAAGTGAAAAAAAAATTAACTTTGAGGGGAAATTTTCACTTTGCAAACTTCGACTCTATGGTCAATCTATCAAAAATACCCATTATTTAACAGTAGCTGACCATAACACCTGAAAAACAGCCACAGTTAGACATTCCACCTACATTTCTATTACAACCTAAGTAAAGCTGGGTCATAGCTATCTCAAGCTTCTAGACACCTCTGTAGAAAATTTTGAGATCAGAGAAATTTCTCTTGCTGGAGGTGGAGACTTCTGGCCTGAAATGAAGGCAAATCTGTTGTAACTCCCAAAAATACCCATAACATGACGAGTGGCTTGTAGTAAAGATGACAATAAGAACTACTGTTTGATGAAAGGAGCCTTTTTACCCTTGTGGCAGTAACTTAACCTGCTAACAAGGACAGTGTCGAATTTAGCAAAATTATCTGGTACTGAAGTATTGAGTTACAAGGAATAGATAGCATTTTAACATGAATTACAAGCAATCATGGTGTTAGCAGATTTTTTTTACTGTGTTTTCCTTAGAATGGCATTTTATAAAAGCACTTCCCAAGGAGAAAAACAATTAAAGTACTGGCTTAAAACACAAACCAAGAAAACAACATTTCTTGTTATTTATACATGGCATTTATTGAAAAGCAGAAAGTTACTCCTTTACAGCATATTTTCTCAATGAGAAGTGTGCGAGTTTCTTCTGCTGCTTCTTGGTCTTAAGGGATGCCTCATGCTTAGTAAAAGCACGTCTCATGGCACGCGTCTTCTTGGGTCTGAGATCAAGAGGTTTAAACTTCTTGGATTTGTAGAACTTGCGCAGGTTTTCACGCTGAGTCTGGCTGATAACAGTCAAAACTCGAGCAATGGATTTGCGAACAAGTTTTCTGCAAAGAGACATATTCCTAGTTAGGAATTTATAACTCTGAAAAAATCATCAACAAAGTTTACAATAGTTCTTAGTAGTTTGATAATAGTGTTTGCCAGTTAAAGAAATCAAGGAGAGTCTCACAAGACTAAAAAAAAATATATTCAAGGAACAAAATCATGCTTCTTAAAGCCTTTTTATGATCTGTACCATTAAATAATTTGTTTTAAATCAATCCACTAGCATCATGATCATAATGAAACAGCCAAAATCATTAACTTGTTACGTATCTAGATACCAATCTATAAGCAGCTAACATCTGCACCTGATTGGTTAAAGCTGGGTTAAGATAACCCAGGGTTAGTGTGAAATCTGATTTCAGATCTGAAAGCTTCAAAGAAAAATTCAGTATAACTCTCCTTTTCTAAAATTAATGATTGGATGCTTGAAGAGAATATAGAAAATTATCCCATAGAGGCTTTTGAACAAAGGAATAAAGAAACCCAGTCTGAAATTTAACCTTGGGTTAGCACTAATCTGCCGTCAAACAACTGGATCTTAATTAACTTTTTCTCCATCATTTCTCAAATATACGTTTCAATGATGTTCCAATATATATAAAAAAATTTCACACTGTGCATCCAAATAATAACAAACATTTCTAATTTTCACTAATTCCAATGACGTTGGAAATTGAGCATAATTGCTTACAACAATTGACAAACATTTAATAACAGTTGTGGGAATGTACTAGGCATTTAAATGAAGGCAAAAATAATCAAGGGATGCCTGTTTCACTTAACCCCAGACTTAAACTGACTCTAGAAAACTTCCATCTGCCCAAAAATTGTTTTATGGCACTAAGAAAATCAACTGCTGCGAGACTTCCAGAAAGTCTACAATCATGCACACAGAGCATTACTCTTTTGTAAATCTATTTTTCAGCAATAGTAAATTGGGTGTAGGAAATCATTTAGTAATGAACAATTTTATCATGTTTTCACAGTTAAGATCTAGCTTTAATGTGAGTAGAAATAAGTACAGGTTTTGGAGTTCAAACAGAGACAGTTTTGGAAAAAAATCGTGTTATCACTATTGATTTAACAACTCAGGATTGGTTTATTAATTCATTTTAACTCACATTTTGGACAGCTTGGATGCAGCCCCTCCAGTAACCTTGGCGACTTCTAAGGAGGCCAACTCATTCTTCAGTTCATCGAGCTGCCTTAAAAGATCTTCTTTTTTCTTCCCTCGAAGTTCGTGAGCTTTGACCTTCACCTGAAGTGTATTTAAATAAATATATATGTACTTAGCATCTTCGTATCGCGTAATCAGTGACACAGGAATATATCAAGGAATGTACCAACGTATTCACGAGTCAAGACAAACCTCGTTCGAATGGATACTCTTATACTACAGCTTGACTTTCAAACTCTCTCGTGTTTCCTTTATTATTTTGCACGGAGTTCGCTCCATAGGAAAATCTACCGATTACTCGATCCTTAACAGCTAACTTAACAGTTGAGCCCTATTATTTTCGATTTTGGAAGTAATATACTTAATATCTTAAGTCGATGATTCGTCACTCAGTGAAGTTTACGCATAACGAGGAGCTGTTACCAGAAGTTACGAGTGTACAAATTAACGCTTTGATAATAAGCTATATCAAGGTTGAAACGTCAAGATATAACTATCAAAGAGGAGATTAAGGTTTATTGTCACTAGGGGAAACTGCATGGTGAAGTAAAGACAATAACAGATTCGATGGAAAAGGATGTTTACAACATAGATTTTCACGAAAACCCACCATTTTGGATGTTGGCTAAGAGAGAAAGAACTATGGGATTTTGAGTAGCCTCATGGGTAACGAAACCGCTGAAAGTTTAAGGAGATCGTGGGCCCAATATCGGCTCGAAGGATCCGGGAAAGAGGGAAAGAAAAATTTGAGAGAAGTCTAATTGAGAGGTTTGGCAAGGGAATACGATCAAGAACGGTTACGGCCCAAGATAATGAGATTCATGAGTGAAATATCGTAGAAACTAAGCAACAAAACAAAAAGGGTAGGAGCCTACTCGCGTGTGCAAATTACTACAGACAAGATTATTTTTCTAGCCTAGAACCATATGCCCCAGGAGGTTTACGTTGTATCGCATCCAGCATAGAATCCTGATTTTTCGAATGTGAAATATTTTATTTTCTCAAAATCTTATGAAATAGAAATAAAGGAACAAATTGTACTCTCATTTGTGCGTCAAGAAGAGAAATCATTATGACGTAACTGAGTACTATTGTTACGCGAGGATAATTAATGTGGAAGAGCTTCCACATCTATTGGGCGAAATCAACGTATTGGTGTGATTTAAAAGACCAAATTTAGGTAGAAGTAAGACTTGGATTTGCAATTTTTGCCCCTGCATTTCATTCTTGCCCGCCCCCTTGATGATTCAGATGGACTCTGGTGATTTTGAACAGACAAGTAAGTAGATTTCCTGCAACGAGAGCTATCTGAGTCTAATAAGGATAACATCAGAAGTAGAATTGCTTCCACTATACAATCAGCGTCACTACATGGTATCAACTTGACTAAAGACGAACAACATGCCCTTAAACGACTGAAAAACGACAAGAACATAGTTATTCTATCAGCCGACAAAGGACGAGTTACTGTTGTCATGGACAAGACTGACTATCACGACGAAATGGATGCAATAGTTAACGACAAACAAACCAACGAATAACTCCAACGCGACCCGACTCCTGCGCTTCAACGCAACTGAACAGCACATCACTGACACTCAAGAAGACAGACGCCATTGACAGCCAACGCTACTACCGACGATGGTGTTCAGTACCACAGCCAGCGAAACTTTATGGTCTGCCGAAACAACACAAACCTGGTTTCCCAATGCGACCTATTGTTTCTTTCTGTGGTTCTCCGACATGCCATGTCCAAGTACCTGACGACAATAGTGCAAACGCTCACCGACAAATCCAGACGTGAACTACACTCTACCGGGGACTTCATTAACGTCACTAAGACTGTACAGATACCTAACGACTACAAACCAGTGTCATTTAATGTGAAATCGCTTTTTACAAGTATTCCACTTCAACTGGCACTACAATGTACTGAGACTGCCATCCTACAATCTACCTACAATCTACCGACCCTCTACCGCTACCGACAGAGGACATTATGGACTTACTAAACCTTTGCCTGACGTCAACTTACTTTCAGTACAACGGTAAACACTACAAACAGTTATACGGTACAGCTATGGGGTCTTCAGTTTCTGTTGTTGTAGCAGAAATTGTGATGCAGAACATCGAGGAAAGCGCCCTTTCGACTTTCCGAGAAACGATACCGCTTTGGTTACGCTACGTTGACTGATACTTTCACCGCCGTACAACACGACGAAATCGACGCATTCCACCACCCTAACGAATTAAACACTGACATACAGTTTACTAAAGAAGTCGAAGAAAATGGTAAACTAAGCCGTGACAACAACTCACTATGGACAACAGTTTACAGGAAACCGACACACCGACAGATTACTAGACGAGTCATCCTACAACCCGACATCACACAAAGCCACAACTATCAGGACTCTTACGCGACGAGTGCAACTAATTTGCAATACGACAGACAGCTTATCCGACAAGAACAAGTACCTTGACCATGTTTTTCAAAGAAAAACTACAACGAAGACTTCATCCAACGTAACACTCACCGACC